CAATAACATAAATAAATATAGTATCAGAGTATATTTTCTTAAGCCGAAATCTTGATGCATTGCAGTGAAAACTGGAGATCAGTAGACGAGATATAATATATTGGACCACCCGTAAGTCTAGAAAAACTGCTTTCTGACAAAAAAAAATTGCATTTTTAAATTTAGACTAGAGTACATATTAAATTTCAGCAATAAAAAAAAAAATGTTTTTTTTGGACCGGAAATTCGAAAAAAAATCCGACAGAGAAGGGGTTAAGAAAATGTCTCATTCTAGATTTTGCAATTATTTTGATATTAGAAATTACTTTTCTTTTATTTTTTTTTAGATTATCTAATTTTTGTAGTGTTTTGGAGCATTATTTTTGTTACAAATGTTGTACTAATGCTTAAAATAATGTAAATATAATTTATATCTTGACCTTGAATACATTAATATTACCTTCTGTTTTATTTATTTTATGATAAAAATTGTATTATTTGCAAGTAATGCTGCCCCTTACATTATAATGGTGTTTCAATCAAAACATGGTGATACAGCCCAAGTTGGCATCGTTTATGGCAACCAAATTTGGCGAATTGGAGACCACTTTGCGGGTTGATGACCATTTTTGGCAATTTTGAATGCTTCTGGAAATTAAAGGAGAAATTTATTAATGTCATGGTCTGTGACAAAAGTGGATCTTTCGAATATGATATGTGAATCACTCATGGAAACTGAGTCAGTATTGCTTTGACTGTTGAAGAGAACACAGAGATTAGTTGCTTGCAAATGAACTTTACATACTTGTATTTTCAGCTGCTGATAGTTATGTCTGAGTGCTGTAAAAGGTGTGAAGACCTGGAATTTATTTTATGAATTTTGCTGCTATACCCTGTATTTTTAAGGATTGTTTTTCAAAAATAAATTTTTATTACTCTTAAAGAACTGTTTTGCTCTTTAAGAGTGATAGCATAAAATTCTCGAGCCTTAATCTATGTAACAATTGTATTAAACATTGAATTGAGTTTAATAAAGTTTTCTCTAACTTGTTTTTTGTATTTTGTAGGTATGATGATGCTTTAAAATTGTATGCTTGTATACTGCAACATGATGAATCTAATTCTGTTATATATAAGCGAATTATTTCTGTATTAAAAGCCCAAAATAAAATTGCTGAAGCAGTTAAAGAACTAACAGAGTATCTAAAAAAGTAAGTCTTTTTTAATAATTTAGTCTGAATGCTTTTTAAATTTATTACACTGTATAATGGTAATATATTACTTACTTTTTGTTTAAATGTTTTAACTGGATTTCTGCTATTTTAATTATTCATCCTTTTAAATAATTTGGTGCATTAAATATTTTGCTTGAATGTTACTACTGAAAATATTTTAAATATGTTGAAAGCAAAATATGCATTTCTTCTTTGAGAAAAAAAAATTAATAATCAATTTGTGTGAAGAATATTAAGTAGTTTCTTTAACGTAAGTTTTTGTAAATTTCAAAATCTAATTGGAGATTTTGTAGTTGTAAAATTCTGCCTTATGTGAATTAAATAATATCACATAAAACTCTGCTTGTTTTCTTACACTAATGTTAACTATAACGAATCAAGATATATATTGATGCTTTCAGATTTATGAGTGACCATGAAGCATGGATGGAGCTCTCTGACTTATATTTAATGGAACAAGATTACAACAAGGCTGCTTTCTGCTATGAAGAACTCATTCTTTTCAATCCCCATAATCATTTATATCATCAACGATATGCAGAGGTATACTTAATTTAATGATCATAGAAAGCATGCTTTACTGATATAAAAATGTTTGAACATATGTCACTTGTAAAGGTTTTGGAAAAAGATTTTTTTAAAAAAAAAAGTTAATTGGTGTAAATTGCCACAAATATCGAAATTTAAAGTTTCAATTAAATTCCAAGTTTTACCCCATAATTGAATGACGTGTGTTGCATTAAATTCTATATAAAATAAAACTTATCAGAATGAATTTGAAAATCTCATTGTTGACAAATTAAAGAAAAAATTATTGAAATAATTAAAATTTCTCATTTGGAAAATTTTATCAAAAAATTTGTTTAGCATTGTTTCAGTTTGGATTAACTTTTGATTTTTGAAGGCAAAATTATTTTTATCACTGCATGAAAGTTCTTATAAGTTCATTAGTTTATCAAATGCAATTAAGAGATAGTAATTTAAAAATTAAATATTTAATAATCTTATTAAAAAGCTAAAATAATATTATTAGTAACAAAGTATAAGATCATTTATAAAAGAAATTGGTTTAGTCTTTTTTTTCAACCACTCATGTTAATTATGTGACATGATTAATATATTAGCTTGTTTAATTAAAAAGTGTAATACAATTGGAAAAAAATTTGAAAATATAGAATCTTTTTCCATATTTAAGGTAGTAAGAGAATTTTCACTTAATATAGTTTCTTGTTTCAAGGCATAAATATTGTTTCTTTCTCTTTAGCATTACCATGCTTAATTTTAATCATTTTCTTTTAGATTCAATATACCATTGGTGGCTTGGAAAATATGGAATTAGCTAGAGCTTATTTTGCACAATCAATTAAACTCAACCCTCGTAATATGCGATCATTATACGGATTTCTTCTGGTAAGTTTGCTATTTTAGTTCTAAAAGAGTTTGGAATTTAAAGATAATTATTGCAAAAATAACTTATGCGAAGCCCTTAAATTGTTAGCAACTTTGTTTTGCATATAATAAATTTTAGTAGTTATTTTATTTAGTAAAATAATTTATATGAATAAAAATTAGCCACTCACTAAGTCAAGATGAAATTCTATTTGAATTGTTAATAATTCCTGTTATTTAATGTTTTGCGAAAATCGCATCATTATCGTATCTTTACAAATTTGAAAGGAGGGGGGGGGGAATACACACAAAAGTTTTATTAATTACTGAAGGCAGTTATTTTAGAAATTAACTATTGTTCACAATATGATTGATTAAAAGTTAACAGCCCAATTTTCTCATACTAGAAAATTTCTGTGTAAATAAATATCAAAAGCTTTATACAATTATGATAATAAAGTTTTTATTTATTGTATATCATACAGAAAATGTAGATATTTCAGTATATTTATTATAGATATATGAGTATTGTTCAAGCATGTTTATTAATAATGAATCTGTAATTGTTTTTCATCTGTACTTTTGATATACTTGAATGTTATTTTACTTGAAATAATATGAAAACCATGTCATGTTTTTGAATTCATGTTTGAAAGTAGAAAAAATAAATACTTAAAAAGAAATGGCTAAAATTATCTTGACAGAGTTTCAGAATTTGTATGTATAGTAAAATTGGGAATATATGTTGCTGCAATACTTAATTGATAGAAATTGGCTATCAAATATTTTTCAATTTGATAAGAGAACAGTTCTGTTAAAAAAAATGCTTACTTTTAGTTGCAATGATAATAGTAAGCCAAATATTGTTTGAACTTAGAACTAATTGTAAGATTTTTGCATTATATCCTTTAAATATACATTTTTAAAATTTCTTTTACAACACATAACTATTGTATTATGCAAAGTCAATAGGCTTAGTACTGCTAGTAACATTTATGATAAGGAAAATGCTAAACATTTCTTGAAATAATAATATTGCTCAACAAACTTTTTAAAGTAACAAAAACACAATTTTTTTAAAAGTTCACAATCACAACAGTTGTGAAACATAGAAACACATTAATGTTCTAACTTGGTTTGTATTATCAACTTAGAAACTGATAATTTATTTTTTCTAAATGATCAATGGTAACCAAGTTAAAAATTTCAAATCTGCAATATTGTAGATTGGCTGTTCTTATTTAGTTGGGATAACATATGTATGGAGAGAGGTCCCAGTGTGAATATTTTCCTTGTCACTTGACTGTTCAAAATTACAAACTCAGTTGCTGAAAACCATAAGTGTTACTTTTAGCGTAACTTTAATTCGGAATCAGTTATGGTGACTCAATTTCATCACGAACCTACTGTCTATATGACCCTTACCCTATTTGCTTAGCAACAATAACCTTTACATGTGAATATAAAGATAAGGCTTTTTTAAGAATTAAATGGGGATTTCTAATATTTTTGTTGGAAACAAGATATATATGTAAGCAGAAAATGACCCCCCCCCCCTCGAAATAGAATGATGGTTACCGACTGTCTGTTGTCAAGACTCCTTCGTGAAGGAAAGGATTCATGCATTGTATTTTTTTATTATTGAAGTGGTCCAAACAATGAGTTTAGCAATCTAAGTTCCTTCTTAAATTTTATAAAAGAACCTTGGAACTTCTTGGTATTAATCATCTCTTGGACTTCTCCACATGACAACTTTTCAATAACAATTTTAGAAAATAAACAAATTTTATTGGTTTACTATATTTTTGCTGTTAAATAAGATATTATTTCAAGTATGGTCTTTTTTAGATGTATTTCACATTAACAGTACAGAAAAAAATATTTTCATGTAAAATCTCCAATTATTGTATAATTCCATTTTTTTTTTTTTAAAAGTTGAGTCTTTAAAATTGATTTATAAATTCTATAATTGAAAATTAGAAAAAAGATATATCATACTCTTAAATATTTTTAGATATTGTATTTGTGAGTTACGCATGTAATTTTTGTGACAAATTTAGTAAGAAAATTCAAAATCTGAGATTTCTGATTTAATTTTGAGAAGCTTGTCTCTAAAGTCAATTATTATTTTGATTGAACTTTTTTTCAATTCCTACTATTAGTTCACTCTCTCCCTATATATTCCTGAAATTTTCAATCGTTAATAAAATACTTTCTATTTATCCGTTCAAATAAATTTCCTTTTTAAACTTGTAGTAGATGACACTTGATGTTAATACAGTTTTTTCAAATATTAATTCATTAATTAAATTAAAAAATGAATGAATAGTTACAAACAAAAATAATAGTACAACCGCATATATTGGAAAGAAAATCGTGTGTGTGTGTGTGTGTTGTGTCCCTGTTGCACAATGGATAGCGTGTTGGATCCAAAGGACTAATCCAAAGATTGTGGGTTCGAATCTCACCTGGGATGGCCTAATTTCTGAGAATGGGATTTATTTTTTACTGTACTGTTTTATTAGTATAATTAAATTTAATTAATGAATAAACAGTAACAAACAAAAAATTTAGTTCAACACTGTATATAGAAAGGAAAATGGAAAATTGCAAAGAAAATCGCTTTCTACGCTGGTGTAAGAAATTAAGAGAATTTGCATATTTTATTGAATTGCATGAAAAGAACTGAACTGAATGAAAAAGCACTGCTTCTAGATAAAAATGCAAATCGTGAACGACAAATACTTAATTGGAATATGTGTGTAGGTGGAGCCAACAGAAAAACAGGCTATATAAGCACATGCAAGTTGAGATGTATTTTGTCCACCAGCACGCCTTGGCAAGTTTCTTGGTATTATTTTGAAGCAATTGGTTCAATTCAAATTGTAACGGTAAAAATGAGTAGCCACCAATGTTTAGATGATGGAATGAAGTAGCAAATTGTTGGGAGGCTAGAAGCAGGCCAATGTCAAGCGCAGATTTGTAGAGTTCAGTTTAACGCCCAGCATTATGTGTACGTTATGGAAACAGTTCCAGGATACTGGATCCATTCAGAGAAAGCCTGGGCAAGGTTGTCCAAAAGCCACAACGGCCAGAAAAGATCGCCATTTGTTGATTATAGTGAGGCGTAACAGAGAGGCTACAGCTTTTCAGCTCTCTCATTACTTGTATGCAGCCACAGGAACCCATGTATCAAGAGTGACTGTTTCAAAAGGACTTCTTGAGAGAGGGTTCTTTGCCAGAAGACCAGCTGTTTGCGTCCTGCTCACATCTATGAACAGGAGAATCCCTTTATGCATGGTGCATACAGACAGCATAGAGATTGGAGTATGGATCAATGGGCAACCGTCCTGTTTACCGATAAGTCCTGTTTCAGCCTAAACACAGATTCTTGCTGTACGTTCATACAAAGAGAACCAGGGACCCATGACCTACTCTCCAATGTCCAAGAAATCAACAATTATGGTGGAGGAAGTTTAATGGTCTGGGCAGGCATGTTGGATGGCCGTACACCTCTCCATGTTTTTGAAAGAGACTCTGTGACTGGTGTGAGTTCTTGGAGCCCTATGTTTGCCTTTTCAGGGGTACATGTGGCCCCGAGTTCATTTTAATGGCTGATAACGCGAGGCCACATAGAGCTCTTCTGGTCGACGAATTTCTAGAGAGTGAGGATATTCGTCCTATGGATTGGCCAGCCAGGTCTCCAAACCTCAACCCTATAGAGTATGTCTGGGGTGAGCAATTGCAACTTGCAACCCCCTCCGAGAACCATCCTGGAAATGAAAACAGCATTGCTGAACGAGTTTTATCAATTGCCACAAGAACTAATAAACTGCCTTATTTCAAGTATGACATCATGCTGTGAGGCCTGTATAGCTGTAAGAGAGGGCCATACCCCTATTAACCCATTTCTTTTGTTTATTCTGCAACTGCTGTTTTATACCTTCCAACTCTAACGAGTGTTATGCTCAATCATGCATGTGTATTGCAATTGTTGAATGGTTATTTGTTTTGTATTGTGTCAATGTATGGGTACATATCAAATTTCATTAAAATCGGATCAGTAGTTCTAGAGATAATTGAAAGTCTGAACATTCTCTTAATTTCTTACACCAGTGTCCTTTGTCACTATGTATTGTGATTCTGTCATATGTATATACATATTTTTAATAATTTAATTATTTAATAAAAGTAACTAAAATAAAATTTTTGTTTGTTGGACCTAAGTAGGAATTGACTTAATTTTTTTATATTACTTTTTTTAGACACAAGGAAATCTGAGAAAGTGGGGTTAAAAAGAACTTGCTTTCATAACCTTAGTCACATTTAAAGTTTCCATTAAGCTTTTGAAGAACACCTCTAACAAATTTTATCAGATGCTTTTCTTCAGAAAAAATATTGAATTTTTTTAAATGTAAACATTGATTGTACCATAATTTTATTCAATTTGTATTCATAGCATTTATATAGAATCATAGTTTAAGTTTCAGAAATATAATTCAAGTCTTGTTGCACAAATTGTTTTTATTTTATAATGATATTTTATTTCCTTGATAATTCCAGCAATAATGCATTATGTGAATTATATTAGCAATTTTACTGCACACTGAAAACAATATGGTTGTTGTTGTCGTGTCCTTCCCGCAGGGTAGGAATGAAAGTTGCCATTGCTTGTGAGACAGGTTGGACTTTTGGCATTGGTACAAGTTGGACAATATGGTATTTTTCATAAATAAACATTTTTGCTTAAAATTTTTTTTCTTTCAATATAATGTATATCTAAGAGGGACCCAGAAAATATTGAATAATTCATCCCTGGTTGAAGATTCTGTAGTTTGTATTTTTTTCTGTTAGGCAAATGGAGAGCAACTGTCTCAAAGTTAAGTTCAATAAGGGACATTGTCCAGAAAAGTTCTGTGTAATTGCTGAGAATTTTTTTTTATAAAAGCAAATTTCATGTACTCCTTTTTTGTGATTGATTTTAGAGAATTACTAGCTGACCCGGCCCGGCGTTGCACGGGCTTTTACCGAGGGTATAACTTAATCCCCATGTTAATTTCCTCCTTTCTTTCTGACGCCAGCACTTTTGTGTGGGTGTGACGCGTACGATGCGAGTGCATGGCCCGTGAGTGCGTATCATGGCTTTCTCGTTTAACATTTTCCCTTTTCACAAAATCAGCACTTCCAATATTTTTCGAAATTACTTTTGCTTCTTTGTTTCTTTCCTCTCCGCTTAGCAAAGCATTGCACGGGCTTTTACCGAGTGAATAACTTAATCCCCATGGGAATTTCCTGTTTCCCTCAGGACGATAGCACTTATGTGGTGTATGCGCAATGTGAGTGATTTCTTTAACTATGTCATTAAAACTCCCTTTTTCGAAATGGCAAAAACCCGCGAATAGTGCGAATTTATAAATCACTCACTCACTTTTCAATTCTTTCGTTGAAATTTTTTAGTCCTGGAAACGAAAATGTAGCCTTTTTAAAAATAGTTGTATGTTGAAAAAAGACAAAGTAGAATCTTTCCAAATTACAAAATTTCACTACTTTTTTAAATCTTGAAGTAAAATTGAGGATTTTTTGAAATGTTCGACACACGGGGAAAAAATTTCATGCAATTATCTTTATAAAAGAAGAAATTATTATTAAGTATTTGGAGTGTTTTATTAAAGTTTGTTCAAAAAAATTTTTGGCTTTTTATTTTTTAAATTACTGATTCTAAAAGTTTTAAAAATCATTTTTATTTAAACGCAACGATATTGATTAATTTCACAGTATAAAATTCAAAAAGAAAATAATACTATGTGATAAAAATATATTTAAGAATATTTCCTTATATTTTTTGATACTTTTTTTTATACTAACGCAAAGTGAATGACCTTGACGCAATTGAGAATTTTTTTTAAAGTTCATTTTTTTAAGGCTTAACTTTTATGTTAAAGTTTTGAAATTTCACACATTAATTGCAAAAACAAAGTACTTTCAAATAAAAAATGTACAAAAAAGACTGTTTAAATTATTTCTCGCAAAAAACTATATTTTACAAAAATCACAAAAAAAAATTTAAAATCCGTAACTTTTAAGCAATTTTTACAATCTTCGTACAGAAATGGGATAACATTATTCTACAAACGTAAAAAAGGTTTCGTACGATAATTTTAATAAATGACAAAATTATTTAATGTTGAGTTAAAATTTTGAGTATTTTTTAAAAAATTCATAGAAAAAAAAAGTCTTTGGCATTTTATTTTTTAAATGACTGATTCAAAAAGAAAAAAGCATGAAATTATTTAGTAAAAAATGTCGTTTTAATAACACGAAAATAAATTCATACGCAACGATTTAGAAACAAATTTTCGTAAAAGCTCATCAGTTTTAACTCATTTTTAAAAAAATCTTAAAAAAATAGGAAACATCATTATTTTGCAAAAAAAGTTATATCGTATCATGGCGAAAGGAATGATCTTTCCGATTCTGTAATTATTTTTTGTCTGATTTAAAAAACGAAAATCGGATGGTTGTTTAAATAATGTCGAGAGTACCGAAAAATTTCACCCTCTGTTCATTCACAACGCTAGGCGGGGAAAACAACACGCAGGGTGAAGACAATTAGGTGTGTTTTAAGGTTTTTAATTAATATCTTTTTAACTGATTGCATTATCGGAATGAAAAATAGTGTACGTCCTGTTCTCAGACCTACTGAATATACGCACAAAATTTCATAGGATTTGGTCAAGTCATTTCGGAGGAGTTTGGCTACAAACACTGTGACACGAGAATTTTATATATTAGATATGCAGCTGTGAAATTTTGTTTCCTGCTTGGGAAAAATGTGAATCTGTGATGTTAAACAAAAAAAAAAAAAATTCAAACGTGTGAGGGGCTTAAATATAAAAAAGGTGATCTATTAATTGCTGACAAATCTCATTCTAGTTGCTCTTAACATGCCAAATGGATGAAAATATTGAAAAAATTCATGCACTTGTTCTTGAAAACCAACAACTGACCATTGAAGTGATGGGGAAATTACTTGGACTATATTTTGTTCATTGGTTCTGTAAATTTTAATGTAAGATTTGTGAATGAGAAGGGGCACTGTAAAATTTGTTTCTGGCTCTAATTGACTTGCAAAATGAGTACCAGCAGTGTGCTAGTTTTTGGCAAAAAAGCAGTATGTTGGACTTCTTAGCCCAATGCTCTCTACTCGTCTGACCCTGCTCCATGTGACTTTTTCTCCCATGAATGAAGGTGAAAGGCAAAGGTTTGGTGACATAGAAAAGAGGATGATAAAAATGGAGTACCAATGAGCCATTAAAAGGAAATGAGTTTGAAAAATGCTTCATGGAATGAAATCAGATTAGACATATATTATGTGCAGTCAAGAGTGTTTTTAAGTTGATATATAGTTTTGTTTTAAAAAAAAAGAAAAGTACTGCTTTTTCTGAAAATACTAGTTTTTTTGGGGTACTTCCTCAT